CACAGTTTGTTCGACCCTCTTCTTTCGATCCATATCGAAGTTCGAGAATTTGGGAGCGATTCGAGAAAATCATGATCAGTCTTGATCAGAATTCATAAACAGATAACAACCAGTCGAGTCTTCGCTATCAGAACATATTGAAATCTTGACGAATTCAAGAATATAATAACGTTATCACTATCGTTTGGGAATTCATGCAATCGAATTCATGCTGATGGTGAAAATTTAAAATTTCGAGCAATTATGGAGCAAATACATAATGTAGCAATTGATCAGGATGCATTTTTTCTTGTATTTAGCTGAATTCATGTCAAATTTAGCGATTCAAATATATTTCAAAGTTTCAAATTGACATATGATTAGTTGCGTAGCCTGAAAATCAATCTCTGTTGTTGTATTTACATCAGACGGTTTAAATCAATGCAGATAGCTGGTTCGAGGAATATTTCAATAATGTGTTCGAGCACTCGGGATTTCTGAACTTATGAATGCTAGAAATTCATTACAAGATTATGCACACATTCGTATGGGTTTTAAGTTTATCTAACGAGATGCTTTGTTCCATCCAGTCATATGGATAAATATAAATGTTGAATTTCAGTGTCGTCAACGCCAACCTTCGACTCGCTTGAGCATTTGTTACTGCAGCGCTATTTGACGGTCGAATGTCATCGAGAGAGGTAAGCATGCTGCAGACAGTCGATGTCGATCAGGTCCTCGTTGTTCGATTGCACTCTTCATTTACATCCTCAAAAAATTGCTTTCAATCCAATAACGCCTCTCGAGGTACCTTCAAGTCACTAAACCAATTAAGAAAACTCACTGACTTGAACGTGCAGCAGTTCAAGATGAACGCAAAAAAANAAGCATTTGCGATTGTCGGTTCCTCATGGTATTTTTTCGTGTAAAAACTTGTTTCCATCCTTCGGACGCTTCTTGATCTCTTATCGATTCAATTACTTCCCGCACAATGCTTCCTCTTTTCAAATTTTCCTTATTGGTCTCTGGAGAAGTCATTAAAAGAAAAAAAAACTGCCACTTGGAGTTTCTATTCAGTTGATCATTTTATCAATTTTTATTGAAAAAAGATGAACAGAAATTCATGCATAAATGATTTGATTGATCACTAATCAACATGCAAACGTCATTTCTATGAAAGAATATGACATCAGTTATTGTTCGAATGATACGTCGATGACTTTCAGAATGAGCGTTCAGTTGGATTTCAATAGGAAAAGGCATTCAGAAATGACCGAAACATTGAGCGAAATGATTTGGAGGGGTCGGATTTGTATCGGTGATGACAAATCTGGTGAATGCTGCTCACAGATGATCCGCAAGCAAGGTGTAAGTAGTATCAATTGATTATCACTTGTATCTTCAAGCATTTGAATGACTGAACGGACCTCTCGCAGCCCAATCGTTAAGCCATAGTTATACGAGTTGCTTGAAACCTTACAATGTGTTCCTCAAATTGGAACTTTGAATTTTCAGGACCAACGCCATGTTATATCGGTTGGCTACAGCAAATGCGGCATTGAGAAGACGTTCTTTGAGACGGGTTTTGATTTTATCGTTAATGTAGGTTGTTGTTTTCTTGAGGTTTACTTTCATAGTTTCATTCATCATGCAGAGATCTTCAATTGAAAGCTACCATGAGCACATACTCAATTAGTTATTCTGTATGCAGATACATTTCCGTGACAATTCGAACCGTCATGAGGAATTCCGAGCGAAATGTGCAGTACCGTTCATGGAGTCGCATGTAAAGGTGAGACAAACGTCACGGATAATTGTTTATAAAAGGAGACTTCACTTTTCTCTGTGCATACTCAATTCATCACATTTTCGAGAGTGTTTTCTCAAAAATTCTCACAACTCATTTGCCTTCATGGAATGCTCAGTTTCGGCCATGTTGACAAACAATTTTTTGGTCTATTTTTATACTGCCTTCTAAAATTTTTATTTTTATTTCTGCTCTACTTTCAATCTTCATTTTCAATATCCAAACATGTCACTCAAATTTATTAACGCTTAAAAATTCTCTGTTTACATTGTTTATGAAAATTTTTTTAACAGTAAGAAGCACCTCCGAAATTCTAATCGTATCAGTCGTCTGCACTTCAGTAATGCTTTCAACACAAGAGAGTAGAATTATAAGACGGCAACCGAGTCAGCTAGTCTGGGATGCTGTTATCAACGCCATCCATATCTTATCATTCCTCATAGCATTCACAGTCAAACGGAAAAATTTCAATGTTCTCTTCTTCATCAACACAGGAAGAAAAATTACGAATTTAATCAGAAACATTCAAACGAATAAAAATATCCCATCAAATGTGGTTTTTTCCTCGCATCATTTTTTTTCTATCCAGAATGTGCTCTCCGCTAAGATTCGATTGAATTATTTGTCTGTCTAGCTTAGGCTTATCAATCTATATCATGCTCGTTTTTTTTNTTTTTTTTGGTGACGTTTGATAGCAATTTAACTCTTGGAAATGTCAGCTTGGGTTCCTGTACTGTCAAAATAGAAACGGTTCTCAATATGATCGTTCCGAAACGCATCCATGCCGAACCTTCCTTCGTTATGTTTCACATTCACAAAAAAAAACGACCTCAGTCGCCTAGAGCACATCATTTAAAGGGACCATTGCATGAAACGTAAGAAGCTAATCGATTGTATACATAAAATGATCAAACGATTCATTACCATTAAGATCTAATGGATTTGCTGCAATTTCGGAGTTGAATTCAAGTAAAGGGAACACTATGTCTTTCGATCTGCGTTGTTTACTCAGTTTAAACTCTTCTCATCCATTCAATTGCTTGAAATGCTGACTTCAGGCAAAAATGATAGCGTCAAAACAGAACATCGAATTGTCAACGATAAATTTTGCATCGTTGAATCAGGACAAATCGAAAGACGACGACGATGTTCTGGGCATACGTCTCGGATCAAATCTGCATATCGCTATTGAGCCAACTGTTGAGGGCATGCAAACGAGTAAGACTTTTCCACGATCTTGCAGCTTGTATCCCTCAACGGATCATCCACTTACTTGCTGCTGCAAACATTGTTGCAGTGTAGAAGTAATGAAGGTAGAAATCACGTTCAATCCGTCCTCTGGTCAAATTGAAAAGTTTCGAAGAAAGAGATGAAAAGAGATGAAATAATTTTCAATACTTTTTATGTCGCTTAGATGTATCGTCATTTGAAGCAACGTCCAGTTGGTAAACCGTAAGCATACCAATCTAATCACTCAAACCCATCATCTATTCATCATCAAATTTCAGGGCTACATACATATCCACTA